ACAATCCTAAGTAATGTGAGACTCTTCCTTTGACACACACACACACACATTATTTACAACAATCCCCCACATGTGTCAAAAGAAGTATCTTTAATTGAGTTACACACATGAGTATAACCATTTTATTTGGTGGTCTTTAGAGATTAAAACCAGACCTAGACCAATAACACTTAGTATACAGAGATGTCAGTGGTCCTATAGATTATGAACTCATATCTCTTGGGCATATACTAGAGGTATTATTAATTAGATTATACCCCCACATTTTTGCTGTTAACAGCATTTTTGTGCGTTAAGATGACCACGCATGTGCTTGGTGTATGACGAATGCTTTGGAGATTTTGTCACGATCTCATAGGAGTGGCCCCACTCCATATTCGTAGAGATGATTTCATTAAATGTACCTGCAATGAGCACGTTATCTCGTAGGATTATGAAATCATTAATAGCTTTCGTTCAGCCTCACCAAAATGCATTCTAGCACTTTCTTGTGCCATATGAAGGGACTAATAATTTATTTTAGTGTTAGCAGAACTGACAAACGACTTGTTTTTACCTATTGAACCTTTTTCATGGGATCACCAATCACAAAGGTTGGGTTGCCATCATTGTCAATTTCAAGTGGCTTTAGTCCCATTCCCCTCGATTGATCTGTTTCTTCCTAGGGTTATTACCGGATTCACTAGGTCCACTTTGACCTCATAAAATTGATTGAGATACCTCTCCAATTTTTAAGCATGCTCATTCACATTGTATCTCAAGTGATTTCCACTTGCACCATTGTTCTCTCTACAATGGTTATTACCATTTAGCAATCACAACTTAGTGACAAGTGTCGGTTTTACACTAAAACATCTGCTAAGAAATTTTCAGCATCTTAGCCTCTAATTACCACTAAAGGTAAATGATCACTAGTGAATTTCTCTCATATAAACTAAAATTTAGTTAACATCTGTATATCTCTATACCACAGGAATCCACTGTATATGATACCAAAATTTATGGTATCCCTCAAGTATTTCATTTCACTCATAGGACTCCATATTTAAATATGTATTCATCAAAAGTTACATCACAGTTAATTTAATGCAACAATTTCTCAAAAATTTGTGTATATACAAATTGAGCTGCACAACTTTCTCAAACAAAGTGTTAATATCATAAGCAATATTCACATATTGGTTCTTAAAAACCAAGCTTTTAAAACCATTTCTCTCAAAATCTCATTCCTTAATGATTTCAACACTTAAAACCACTTTCACCCATGCTTTCATATTAAATTTTGAAGCAACAAAACATTATAGATAATATTTTATATCCACATTCAATATTCACAATTGTCGTGCATACTCATACATATTTATATCAAGATAAATTATTTATCCACACAAATAATGATATTATGAAAATTAAAGCACATTTATCTCTGCACTAGATAAATGACTAAGTTTTCATACCCACATAGTGCTTGCTTTAAGCAACACAGAAAAATTTGTAATTCACAAAATTTGCTCTCAATAGGAAATAACAAAGCCTCCACTTATTATTGTTTTTTTCACAACACATATATTGAGATTTCCAAAACGAGACTAACACAATTTGAAATAAACTAAAACGTATTTTTCTCCACCAATATTATTTTTGTAAGATACCCCACATTTTAGGTACCCCCACACTTTTAGATATAGAAAAATTATTTACACACCTTATCAATAATAATTCTAATTAAATTAGAATTTCACAGCAATATATCTTCCCATTCTAATTATAAATTAGACTTAAAAATATCATTCTAATTTCTCAAGGCGTCACAACAGATTAAATTTAAAGTTTGTTCCAATGCCAAGCTATTGAAATCAACACATAAAAATATGGATACATAGGATATAAAATGTTCCATTCATACAATCAAATATTTTCGTCAAAATTATCATTATGTAATGTATTTTAAATTCCACTAACAAGTTTAATTGTCCACACAACGGTAATGTATTAAAACCCACAAAGGACCACTCACATGGCAGTTATATATAGGGTGTTATGAAACTCATAACATCAATGTTGCAAATATTTTTATACACGAAGCCAATGGCACACCAAAAATGATTATTTAAGGAGAGAAAATGTTGATGGAAAAATAGGAGGTTAGCAACTATTCAAACCAATTTAATATGCCTATCAACCGAAAGCAATAAAACCTCAACAAATGGAAGGGATTAAATTCACCGGAATACTCATTAAGTAAACCCAATAAAAACCCCAACATTAAGAGTATATATATATCGAGGTTACCAAACTTAATATAATTAAATAATCTCTTTTAATATAACAATTAATTTCCAGAATTTCCAACAAGATGACCATATATGAAATCATGCCATGAATGCCAATGTTCATATTAATGAATTTTTTTTTATTTAATGAATATTTAACTACACTTTTTTTTTTAATTCTAAGCATAACAGTAATGAAACCCAATAAAGGCAGTAACAGAAGTAATTACATTAAAAGGATACAGAGAGATACATGGATGGATAAATATGAGCAATATTAATAGTAATATTGAGGAAGCAGACAATCATGATAATGAATTTTAACCAGCTCATGACATCAACGGATAACAACTATACCAACGTTAACAATATATATTTAAAACACACAAAACCAATCCTGCACGAGGCATTAATATAGAGAATACTGAGACCCATGAAACGAGGGCTAATGTCACATTTGCTGGAATAAAATCAGAAAGTTACCAATTATTAAACCAAATTAATATACCCACTAATCAAAACAGTAAATCCTCCAATGAATGGGAGGTCAGTTATTTTAATGACACAAATAATGTAATAATACCTATTCAAACATTCTACAACACCATAAATATTTACTTTGCACTGCAAAGTGGCTTCCCATGCCCATAGCTTTCATAATGAAACATTCTCTACTCATAATATAGTAACTGATAAGTTACGGTTAAGCCACAATATCAATATGCCAATAAACTCTTGCTGTATAATCACCAAGAAAAAAAAACACAAGTGGCGGATAACACAAGATTAATAGGCATTATAAAACTGTTATCCCAATTAATTATAGTAGTATGTTTCATGGTTAAAACTTTGACCATGAAACAATCAAAAGGCACCAGGTTTTAGCTTCATGCTTAAAGCTAAATAGGTGCGTACATTTGGCAAGAGACGGAACCACGACAGTATGAACTCAGCTGGGAAACATAATCAAGAGTAGCATAAGTCAATTTAATCTAGTGTTCCTCTTCTAGGACACCCACTGCCACCGTGGTGCTCATGCCATGTACTTTTGTCCAATATGTGGTGGCTCTGAGGTCTTAAGTGAGTCTAGATGAAGAACTTGATTTAACATTTGGGTTCATAACCACCATAAACCCTAGAGCATATAACACATGCCCCATCGCCTAGCTTCACGCATAAAAATCATTGGACCCACTACCTCAACACACACTTTGATCGGGTTCACTTTTACCACCACCTCATATCACCATACAAGGTGGCCATGCCCGGATGTGTGCGCAAAACCTAATCCTTAGATCATCTCTGGCCTCTAGAATTACCAAAGATTCATCCCTTGTCATCTTAATTCTGCCACAGAGATGACTTTAGAATAGAATAAATAAATATAAACGACAAAGTGAACAAAATACTGTATTTAGAACCAAAGTGAATGTCAAATTAGTTTTTATATTAAGGATTTAAGGTAGTATTAAATATTAATATTTTAAAAATTAACTATGTGATTGAAAAATTTCACATAGTAAATAAAAGAATTTGATGTAAAACATAAAACATCATCCTAAGTTGTATATCCTTAATTGCTAATTTTGATCACTCAGTTATTTCTGATTAATCTTCACATTCCTGTTTTCTCTCTCTTAAGCGGCTAGAAAGAAAGGGGATAAGAGCCATCTTCTCCCAAAATTTCGACTTCTTTTTTGGTTAGCTATTACCGACAAACTAAATTTAATACCGATCCTAATTATAAAACCTAGTTAACTAATTTGAGAAGATTAATAAAAGAAGTTAAATTAGTTATTTGTAACAAATAGATATTATCTTTCCAAAATATTCTTGCTAATTAAGTGTATTAGTTAGAACTACTATTGTTGAAAGAACTAACTTGGAAAAAAAATACATAAATGTGATAGATAAAATGGATTAGATATTATATTTAGAATTAAATTAAAAATCAAATAAAATCTTATATTAGGACTGGAGGTAATATTAAGATCTGACAAACTAAATTTCGTAACTTTTATACATTTTCAATCCTCAAAATTTACGCAAATTTTGCATACTGCAATCCGTTTAATTCGGTCCCCTCGTGAAATCGGAAAAATGTACGCTAAATTTCGCTTCTATCTCCTGTTTGACAGAGTCTACACAAATAAAACGAAATCACAGTGAATTCTAATTAAGATCAACTTCCTACTTGGGCAACAATAATGAAGGAAAATTCAACAACTGCAGATTTGGTTTTCCGGTTTCACTTTTGATCTCACAGGACTTTTGATGTTTGTGCTTTATACTACCTTTAGTTCTAATTTGTAAATTAAGTCTTATAATTAAAATTGGAAGTAGTATCATTTTTTTTCTACTTCCAATCTTAATATAAAATCTAGTTTAGGACCAAGGTAGTATTAATTCATCATTGATGCATACAGGACTCCCTTAGAACAGACTTCACTAGTTACGGCCACTTACAGCCATGGAGTTTCTATTAACTTTCCAAGAGAACCTGATCCAGCCCATGAATATCTGAAAGCTAATGAACTACTACCGCTTAAACTGACGACTGACGACCAAAAACCCAATCTGCAATTCATTTTGCTGGTAAAGATATGTCCTCAAAGAATGCAGAAACATGCATGCATAGATTAGATCATATAGGAAACGTTAACAAAAGACGAAAAGATAAAACAATCCATAAATTAGCAACAAAGACCTAGAGATGATGAAGCATCAAATTCAGCCATCAACTGCCGTATATTATCCCAGTGAATAGACCATTCGCTCACATAACTCCGGCCCCACAACGCTCTTGTATCTCTGCAACTGAGATTCAAAGTCACTCCGCTCTCTGGACCAAAGGCACCTCGCAGATCCTTCACATGCAAAATATGAGGAATACCATGATTTTTTTAAAATAAAAAAACCCAGACACAAGCAGTTAAAGGAGAAAGTGCTGAAGCGAGGAGTGCGTGTGAAAACGTTTCAGTGCATGTTACATGTAAGTAGTTCTCCTCAGAATTTTAGCTTTATCCTAAAGCAGTTAATTTTGTAAAGAAATTATATTATACCTAATATGGTTAGTTTTAAATAATATGAATTTATACAATGTGTGTTCCAAAGGCCATACAAGAGTAAAACCACACTGATTACCAAATATTTAAAATAGCTAATAATCAATACTATATTTTCTACGATTTTCCTTTGAAATTTTTGAGTATGTTGAGAGGAGAGAGAGAAGAAGAGAGAGAAGTATTCGGGTCTAGAGTACTTGCACACCCAAGACTTGAGCAGTCATACCTTGTACCTCAGGCGAGATCCCTTTAACCCAAGCAAAACTTTGCTGACATCACCATCTTTTTCACTGTATGAGGTAGTTTCTAGGCTGGGCTCATCATCAGAACTTTCCAATTCAGAATCATCCATTTCTTCATCTTCATCCATTGGAACGTCATTTGCGTCTTGTTGGTCAGCATCAAGATGCCTTTCCAAAACATCTACAGTAACTTGAGGTTGGCATGACTCTCCATTTTGTGAAATGGAAGAATCTGATAAAACAACATATGGTTTTCTGTCAAGCAAAGGCTTTGCAATGTCGAATGGAACCCATCTGTAGATCATGCATTACCCTCAGCCTCATTGAAAATAATAAAGGATGCCTACAAAAAGTTATCAGAATCCAACAGCAAGTATGGTTTATTTAACAAATCTACAGGCTGCAAGATCATGATGGTACATTCCGATCATTTCACATCACCTAAAATTAAAAAATACGGTGTCTGACAACAATATAAAGGAATACAAACCGCAGTAGGATTTGATAACTATGGTGGAGATATTGAAAAGCAACCCAACAACAATTTTGGATAAAGACAGTAACTTTCTATAGATATTCATGAAGGAACTAACATCATGATGAAGTAGCAAATTTCTTCAGGGATTTGGATTAAAAAACTTACTGATACCGTAGAGGACATAGAAGCTCTGATGGGCCATACGCAGCTTTATATCTCATCTTGCTGCAAGAGTGAATATAGTAGCCAAGGTAATAGTACTGAATGCTAGGACAATGAATTTGGTTTTCTTTCACCCAATGTATTTCCTGGAGTGCTGAATACTTGCCCAGAGATAAGAAGGCAAAGTCAGGATCCCAGAACAAATATTTACTGGATAAACATTTTGGAAGGATATCTATAACTCCAACTGCCACTAATTGGTCATCTATTAAATACTGTTGATGAAAGGAGCCAAAACCACAAGGAGGAACTGTGCCATCCCCAAAGGAAGCAACATATAACAATGGAGTATCAACCAGAAACCTCCGATATGAGTCCTCGGTCACATGTTCTGGTTTATCATTATGCACTTTGAGCTGATATCTTCTATACAAAGCATATTCTTCAGGATCAAAACTTGATCTTTTCAGGCGAAGCTCAAGCCTCCGCCTTTTCACTTCACTACACTGAGGGTTATTCAAACAGTTTCCTTCACTCCCACGCTTTATCCCAGATTTTTTAGGAGCTGAAGCATTTTGAGCACCTTCACTTGAGGAAGCTTGCTTAGTGGAGGAATAAAAATTGATATGTCCACTGCAAGATCTTACAGATATATCAGAACATTTTAAAGTATGCACTAAAGATGTTGCCAATTTTTCAGCAATAACTTTAGGAGACATCTCATTCTCTTCTGTACAATCTTTAGACAGTTTTGACTGATGGGCATTTTTGTCACCTAGTTGTGCTCGCTTTATAGAAGCTGCAATTTGGAATGCTATGTTGCTACTGTATAGGAGATCTTCTGATCCATTAACTAGTAACTTCCTCTTCCCAGGTGAAACTTTTTTGACTGAAGCTTTTGGTAACTGAATACCAGAGGGAAATTCTTCCTTATTAGTGAGCATGCAAACTGCATCTTCAATTTGATCTGATAAGCAGCGCAAAACTTTCTCAGTCTCATTTTTCTCTTCATTACAAGTAGAAAGGGAGTCTTTAGACAGAGGGCTTGAGAACTGAGACTGAGCATGAGAGGACAGAGCTTTCAGATTCATTAGAAGCAGGTGGGTGCTCTGAAGTATTAGCTTTTTTGACATCCAACGCGCCATCTAGAAACCTAGGCACATCAAATAATTAATGGAAAATTAAGAAGTAAAACAGCTGCAAGATGTTTGAAGGTAGAAATATCAAATGATATAAATGGCTCTAAACGGATAATATCCCATTCATTGCACTCAACCATCATAAAACACCAAAAATGAATAAAGCAGAAAAGAGGAAAGAAGCTGCGTCTTAGAGTCTATTTTATTAATATAACCCATCCCCACCTTTCTCTTTCCCAACCTTGTCCCCTCCAAGGAAACAGACACAGACACACACACGCACTAAAGAAAAATATTAAAAGGAAACCAAATTTTCTAATTTAGCTAAATAATTCTATAACTCCAACTGCCACTAATTGGTCATCTATTAAATACTGTTGATGAAAGGAGCCAAACCACAAGGAGGAACTTGCCATCCCCAAAGGAAGCAACATATAACAATGGAGATATCAACCAGAACTCCGATATGAGTCCTCGGTCACATGTTCTGGTTTATCATTAGGCACTTTGAGCTGATATCTTCTATACAAAGCATATTCTTCAGGATCAAAACTTGATCTTTTCAGGCGAAGCTCAAGCCTCCGCCTTTTCACTTCACTACACTGAGGGTTATTCAACCAGTTTCCTTCACTCCCACGCGTTATCCCAGATTTTTTAGGAGCTGAAGCATTTTGAGCACCTCACTTGAGGAAGCTTTCTTAGTGGAGGAATAAAAATTGATATGTCCACTGCAAGATCTTACAGATATATCAGAACATTTTAAAGTATGCGCTAAAGATGTTGCCAAATTTCAGCGATAACTTTAGGAGACTATCCATTCTCTTCTGTACAATCTTTAGACAGTTTTGACTGATGGGCATTTTTGTCACCTAGTTGTGCTCGCTTATAGAAGCGGCAATTTGGAATGCTATGTTGCTACTGTATAGGAGATCTTCTGATCCATTAACTAGTAACTTCCTCTTCCCAGGTGAAACTTTTTTGACTGAAGCTTTTGGTAACTGAATACCAGAGGGAAATTCTTCCTTATTAGTGAGCATGCAAACTGCATCTTCAATTTGATCTGATAAGCAGCGCAAAACTTTCTCAGTCTCATTTTTCTCTTCATTACAAGTAGAAAGGGAGTCTTTAGACAGAGGGCTTGAGAACTCATGGAGGACAGAGCTTTCAGATTCATTAGAAGCAGTTGGGTGCTCTGAAGTATTAGCTTTTTTGACATCCAACGCGCCATCTAGAAACCTAGGCACATCCAAATAATTAATGGAAAATTAAGAAGTAAAACAGCTGCAAGATGTTTGAAGGTAGAAATATCAAATGATATAAATGGCTCTAAACGGATAATATCCCATTCATTGCACTCAACCATCATAAAACACCAAATGAATAAAGCAGAAAAGAGGAAAGAAGCTGCGTCTTAGAGTCTATTTTATTAATATAACCCATCCCCACCTTTCTCTTTCCCAACCTTGTCCCCTCCAAGGAAACAGACACAGACACACACACGCACTAAAGAAAAATATTAAAAGGAAACCAAATTTTCTAATTTAGCTAAATAATAGGTTAAAATCTCCTGGGATGCTCGTAAACATTCTTGATACCAGAGAACACTAACCATTTTAATGTCTTCAATTTAATATTACTTGCTATGGGGCAAAAGAAGGATACCTTTGCACCCGTTTAGATACACGAAGTTGCTCTTTAGAAGGAACAAAGTCACTTGCTTTCAAGCGAATTGTATAAGAAGGACAGCATGTCCTTTCCATCTCTGGTTTGTAAAGAAAACATCCAGATCTTCTCCAACCCCGATCAAGAAGATCTATCAAAACAAAACAATATAAAATTGAATAGCCCCCAAACAAAAAAAAAGTCATACAAACATAGCTATTCAGACGTTTAAGTTGAAGCATGCCAATTTTTTATGATCAGCTGAATTAGAAGAGCTACGCATCACATCTCTCCAAGAACAATGGCAAATTTGAAATATTATGAGCTGTCCTGAAGACTTCATTACATGAATTTCAGCAAAATGCTTTAAGATGAAAAATATTGAACACAATTGCATCACTCTTGATTTGCAAGAGAAAATGTAATTGCAACAAGAAGCTCAAGACCTTATCACATAGCCACAGAATATTAGAACCAGACCAGGCTTTAAATTATGATAAAGAAATCGTCTAAGCCTAGTAGTTTAGACTGTGCCAATGAGCTTGTGGATAGCCGTAAAGAGTGCCAAGTGCACACAAAGGTCCTTTTACATGTTTGTATGTAAATCAATAATAAAAAGAACCAAATATGCAACACAATGTAAAATTCCATCTGCACTCACCTTGGTAATCATTCACTGTAAGGCTTTGTGCCCACAGGCCTGCAGGAAAGGAAAACAGAAAAGTAAACTAATTTAGAAGATTTTTATATTGCATTTACAGGCCTATTTCAAAAGTGAAAATAATTCCATTCTAGCAATGTAGCCCGAGATATACAGTATATTTGCTATTACACATTTATAAGTAATTATCGGGCAGTTTTCACAAATTCCCACTCGTATCCTCCTCTTGTATTGCATCAAGAAAGAGTCTTGACCTCAACCACCAATTTTGATATGGAGGTGGTTAGTGAAAGTGATTCGTCTCACCACTCACAATTAAGGTTATAAATCATCTAGGCATGAGTTTGAATTGAATGTTGGGATTCAAATGATTTTTAGGCTCATTTCGTTTTTAGCTTAATTGAAAGAGAAGCTAGTTCTGGTTCATAAAGCCAAGTGGGGAAAAATTTCAGGAAGAACGCTCCTGTTTTTACATTGTCTTATCCCGAATAAGCATGTAAACAGAACCGCACGTGAATTTGAAAACTCCTCAGATAATCCTGGCGACTAATGCCATCCAGAAGCTTAGGAATTGCAAGTGTAACCTTCAACGCTCAAATTTACCGCAAGGTTTGGTCGGATGCATTGTGTACTTCGTTAAATCGAAAGTCTTTCCAGGAGAAAAAATCAAATTTTCCACGAAACTAAGTATTTTCATCACATTTTTGTCTTTGGATAGGACGGTTGAACAATTCTAACACATACGAAATCGGTTTTGAACAAACAAATTTACAAGCGCATCAAATCCCATCAAGAATACAGTTCCGTGTGATAAAAACCGATAATTCAGGAACTGATTGAATGAAAGAGGATAAAAGGGGAGAAAATCAATAAATGAAAAGGATCAAAATTCGGAAGAAACAAACCGTGAGAGATGCTGGTGCGACCAGGAGATTTACAATAACCGCAAGAGCTTCGACGTCTTCCACAATCGATCACGACGCTTTCCGTTCTGCTGTTGCTGCTACTGCTTGCCTCATCTATTAACCTCCTGGCCATTTCCAAGTCCTTCCTAGTAAGCTCAATTCTTCAGCAGATTGTTCTTAAAAGGAAGGGAAGGTTTATGAAGAACAACGGAGCAAAATTGGCTTCGTACTATTTTCCTGCCTTTATTCCCCGGTCAATAGTCTTCAGCCCCAGGACCCAAGCTCCTGCGTTTTTGGCTTACTTTATGATTAATTAAAGCAGCAAAATACCCAAGATGCCAATCTTGTGCTATGCATCCTGACCCGACAACGTGATCGCAGTATCAATGAAATAAAAAGCTGATTTAAAATGATTTATAAGTAGTTTTTTTAATCATAATATAAAATAAGTATCTTAAAAAAATTTTGTATGGACTTACATAAAACATGTTTATATTACTTTCAGCTCTTAATATAAAAATTAATTAACTAATTTAAGTAAAGAACTAATTAAATTAGTTATTTGTAATAAATATGTATTATCTGTCTTAAAATATCCTTACTAATTAAATATATTGGTTAGAACTATTATTATTATAAAGTCTATCTTGGAAGAAAATGAATCAATATAAGAGATAAAGTAAATTATGATCTTATATTAAGGACTAAAATAAAAGTCAAAAGAGTTTTTATATTAAGGACCAGAGGTAGTATTTCTCTTGTCCTATTTATAAGCTAATTCCAACACATTTCACACAGAAAAATCTTAAAATGTATTAATATTCTATTAAAATATAACAACTTTTTAACTTTATTCCTATTTATTATATGTGCATTTAAAAAAATTATCTATGTTATAATAAATAAAAGACAAAATAATATATTCATGTTAAAAATTTAATGAAGTGATATCACGGAAAAAATCTTATTAGTAATTGATTTCAATTGTAATGCCGAACGGGTAGGGAAAAAAAATGAAATGAAATGAAATGAAATCTAAATAACTATTTCTCACCATTCCTTTTAGTCACTAATGAAATTTTTAATGAAATACTATATTGATATGCAATGTTATAAATTTAATTAAATCAATCAATTAATTAATTATGTCTGTAAAATGACATGGTATAATTTTATTAGTTGTCTACAGTTACCTTTTTTCCACAGAATTTTTAGAAAAACATATTTCAATATCCAACAAATCCAGGAATTTTTTTTTTAATTTTATACCATTTAAACACTCACAGACAACATATTAACATTAGGTTCAAACTTGAAATCTCATCTAATAGATGACGCGGCCACTAAGACAATTTACTGGGGACCAATATGTATTTTTGTATATTATATATATTTTTAAAAAATGTGCACGTTCTTGCTTAAAGAACGGAGATTTTTCTCTCAAAATAAGATAAATGGTATTTTGATTTTTGTATAGTTAATAAAATCTAGCCATGTAAAACATTGTAAAAGATAAATTCACATATTGATAGTTTGATTAGAATTTTTCTACAGCAGTATGACTTATTTGGTTTTAATGTTCTCTTTTATATGATTTCTTTTCAACAAGTATGGGATACTTTATGCTTATTTAAAGTGAACCGATGTGACCAAAAAAAAAACAAGTGAACTGAATGTGTTAACAAAAAAAAGTGAACTAACTAATTGCCATTTATTAGAATTGTATCATTAAAGGGGTGTTTGGGATTATATAAAAGTGCTTTCTAAAAGTACTTTTCTGCAAAATGAAACAAACTTCTTAACATATTTACTTTGTATACCATAAAAGTATTTTTAAAATTATAGTTTAATTTTTATCTAAAAACCCCTTAGGAAATAATTTAAATATATTTTGAAGTTAAGGTTAAAAAATATGAGTATGTAAAAAAAAAAAACAGAGTCCAGCTAATGACAGATCGTTTAGTTTCACATTAAACACAAAACCAGATGATAGAAAAGAGAAAAAGGCTTTTGGGGTGTTAGCTAAACCAGACCAAGCTAACATAATCTGATATCCAAGATTTTAGTCTAGGTAAGACCACTCATTCTCAACTCATCAATGGGCTATGTTAGGACTCCCAGCCTTGAATACTAAATCTAGGATAACTGGAAAGATTGTCACTAAACCTCTTTCAAGGATCGTGGTCAGATTCTATTTCTGATAAACAGGATCCTCTTAAAGAGGTAAGTGCAGAGCATACTTAGAATCTCTAGCGACAGAAGAAAGATATTATAAGTGGGGCTTTCAGAAGAAGAGAGAAATTTAAAGAGAACTCATGAGGAAAGCACACTAGTATTATACAAGGAAGTTGATACAACTCCTTCTGCCCGTAACTGATGCTAGAATGGGGTTTATATAGAGGCTTGGAGCCATTACATCACAAAATCCTAATAGTAGATATCATTATGACGGGTAGGGGTAATAATGACTTGCTACCCTAATAACGACACTACTGTCAACTACTTTAATAAAGGCAACTACTTTATTGATTACAACAAGCAAAATAAACTACAGGACAAATTACTTTAATAAAGTAAAAGTAGATGGCGACATAAAGTAAGAATCTGGCGGGTCCTCCTTATCTTCAGAGTATCTCAAAAGGAAATTTTCTAATGATAATGTTCCCTAGTCTTTGTAGATAAGTTCATGGCTAGGGGGATGATGCCTTCTGGGTCAGAGTCATCTGAGTCATAATGTCTCCTTATACAGTAAGAGTCTTCAAGTTCTGGGTCAAGGTCATCTTGGCTAGGATCCTGGGATTCTCCTGCAAGGAATGGGAGTTGTGACTGAAAACTTGGCTGAGGAAGATGGAGTCCTTCATGCTGAGTGAGTTGAATCTGCGAGTCTCCGTCATTAGGGTCTTGGGAGGCTTCTGTCTGTAGAGGGACTTGTGACCTATTTGGTGGAGGTCTGACAGCACTCAGGATGAAATCTCTCTAGAATTCTTCCAGTGTTATGCTGCTCGCCGAAGGTGAACTTGGAGGGAAAGGTCCAAGAGAAAGACATGAAGTGTCTTCTCTCGTGTCAGGCTGATTAAGTGCAGTTAATGTTTTTCCAATTTTCTCCATTAACAATGCTTCATTTCTTGGACATGAGGGGGTGGTGATTTAGAGAATTAGACAGTTGTCTGTGTAAAGCCTTTGGTTAGTACTTATACTATAGTTTCTAAAAAAGGTATATAAGCAGAAAAATATCTTTTGTTTAGGAGATGGTAAGTCCCAAATATTATATTCCTTGAGAATTTTTCATAGTTTTCCTCTCCAATAGAGAAGAGTAGCAATCATCTCAAGTAAGAGGAGAATTTTTGTTTCTGAAGTCATTAAGGCAGTCATGTATGACTACGGCTGAGAAGGCTATGGCACAAATATAATTGGCTGAGACAGACCCGATGTACCATAAGAGTTCCTCTGGTATGGGGCCTTTGATGATAGGAACAGTGAGGTATGAAGCATCAGCATAAAAAGTGTTGAGGATATGAATGGATTCCAGTATCTACGAGAAGACGGTGGAGCCAGTAGAATATAGTGCTTCTTGCAAGGTTTTGGACATCTACTGGAGATTCAGGACGAGGAAAAATGGTGACTCTCATTTTATGAGACATTTCTGGTTCAGAGATGGTTAAGATGAAAAGGGGTTGGTGTTTGGAGAGTGACAGGAGTTTTGGAGGCTAAGAAACTTTCTAAGGTCTTGTGAGGAAATCTGCTATAATGTTTTGGTGACCCTTAAGGTGATGGACAGAGAATTTATAGCATGAGAACCCATCTTTGCATTGAAGTAACTAGCTGTCGGGTAAAATCTTTCCCTTGGGATTAAGCATTTTGGGAAAAGACATATTGTCTATTTCTACTCTGAATTGATAAGGATTGAGGTGAAAACTGAATTTTTTGATTCCTCTTTTAACTGCAAGAATCTCCTTGTTGGTAGCATGATAATACTTTTCTGACTCCTTGAATTGTCCGCTTGCATGTCGACAGTAGAATCTCTTTCCATTTATTTCTTCAATTAAAACAGCTCTCCAAAAGTCATCATTGGTATCAGTCTAGAGGATTCGTAGCCCTTTGTCAGGGATCTTTAAAGGAGGTGGTTGCTGTGCAATTCTTACAATCTGGAGGATCCAGTCTTGAATCTCCAGCAGATGTCCAAAACCTTGCCGGAAGCACTATGTTCTACTGCTCCACCGTCTTCTTGTGGATACTGGAATTCATACATATTCTCAGCACTTTGATGCTGATGCTCCATACCTCATTGTTCCCATCATCAAAGGCCCCATACCAAAAGAACTCTTATGGTACATCTAGTTTGTCTTAGCCAATTATACTTGTGCCATAGCCTTCTCAGCCATAGTCGTACATGACCACCTGAATGACTTCATAAATGAAAATTCTCTTCTTACCACACTCTTTGAAATGATTGCTCCTCTTTCCTACTGGAGAGGAAAACTTTGAAAAATTCTTAAGGAACATAATATTTGGGACTTACCATCTCTTAAACAAAAGAGATTTTTCTGTTTATATACCTTTTTCAGGAACTATGGTATAAGTGCTGACCAAAGGCTTTACACAGACAACCGTTTGATTCTCCAAGTCACCACCCCCTCATGGCCAAGAAATGAAGCATTGTTAATGGAGAAAATTGGGAAAACGTTAACTGTACTTAATTAGCCTGACATAGGAGAAGACACTTCATGTCTTTCTCTTAAACCTTTCCCTCCAAATTCACCTTCAGCTAGTAGCACAACACTTGAAGAATTCCAAAGAGATTTCATCATGAGTGTTGTCAAACCTCCACCAAATAGGTCACAAGTACCTCTACCGACAGAAACCTTCCAAGACCCTTATGACGGAGACTCGCAAATTCAACTCACTCAGCCTGAAGGACTCCATCTTTCTCAACTAACTTTTTAGTCACAACTCCCATTCCTTGCAGGAGAATCCTAGGATCCTAGCCAAGATAACCTTGACTAGAACTTGAAGACTCCTACTATACAAGGAGACACTATGACTTAGATGACCCTACCTATCTACAAAGACTAGGGAACATCATCATTAGAAAATCTCCTTCTGAGATACTTTGAAGATAAGGGGAACCCGCCAGATTCCTACTTTATGTCGTCATCTACTTTTACTTTATTAAAGTAGTTTGTCCTGTAGTCTATTTTGCTTCTTGTAATCAGTAAAGTAGTTGCCTATATGCAAAAAAGCCTCCTCTAGAGGACCTGAAACTCACTGTTTCACAATTTGTGAGTGAAAATGGAACTTGGGAAGTGCATAAATTCAAAGATCTCCTGCCGGAAACCATTGTTAACCAAATTCTGAGTATCACTCCTCCCTCCCAATTTGACTCCCCTGGAGAAATCTCATGGCGTCTAATTGGGAATGGAGGATTCATAGTCGGCTACGCCTACAACCTTCTACGGCAGAAGTGTTGGAATGATGAAAGTAAGCATTGGGATCTTGCTTGGAAATGGAAAGGGTCACAAAGGATTAGAACCTTTCTCTGGCTCACGTGAAGCAACAAATTGGTCACAGACTGTGAACGAGCGAGAAGGCATATGGTGAGCAACGAGTATTGTGGGATTTGCAGAAGAGGACCTGAAGACCTGAACCATGTTCTCAGGGACTGTAGCATTGCAAAAGAGTATTGGAAAATTGTCATTCCCGCACAATACAAGCACCAATTCCTTGCACAACCTTTCAAGTTATGGCTAACGAGAAATCTCCGGCGCGACAAGAATTAATTCTTTTGGCCTCCTCTTTTTGGGATAATCTATTGGAAGCTATGGAATGGTCGAAACGATTGTCTCTTTGCGCAAAGGAGTAAAATCTAGTTGAACTGTTTAATAATAAAAAACTTAAATGGAATTTTCTATTGACTCTTGTTTAGTGCTACTACTTCCGGTTCTTAATATAAGACATTGTTTGACTTTTATTTTGGTTCTAAATATAAGACCTCAATCCACTTTGTTTCTCATATTTATATTTTTTTTTTCCAAGATAGTTATTCTAACAATGATAGTTCTAGCCAATACATTTGATTAGTAAGGGTATTTAGGAAAGACAACGCATATTTATTATAAATAACTAACTTAACTTATTTTCTTAGTCTCCTCAAATAAGTCAATTAGCTCCTATAATTAAGACCAGAAGTAGTACATTCGATCCTTAATATAAGACTTAATTGAGTAATTTAGAAAAATTAAAAAAGTTACTAAATTACTTTAAACTATTTATATTTATTATTTTTCTACAAACTAATTTGTCTTACTTATAGAATGATATATAATCTAATGATCCACGTAAACATTTTAGAAAGATCATGTGAGTAATATGTAACATATGCTATAATTAAATAATTTAATAAATTTTTTAATATTCCCAAATTAATCAATTTTGTCTTATATTAGGGACGGATATATTTTTTTATATTTAAATAATGGAACGATGATCTTTGAGTTAAGAAACATTGTTTTAAATTGGGCCAGATTTTGTGGAACCGTACAGTCCTTGCACCAAGGCCCAAGGGTAAATGGGCTACCCTTTACACCCTTTTTTCAAAAGAAAAACCAATTAGAAAAGGCAGATAATTCCTGCTGGAAGAGGTATTCATATTGAGTACTACTTCCGGTCCTAATTATAAAAACCAGTTGATTAATTTGAAGTGATTAAGAAAGTAAGTTGAGTTAGTTATTTGTCCTAAATAGGTGTTGTCTTTCCTAAAATATTCTTGCTAATCAAGTATATTGACTAGAACTATCATTGTTAGAAGAATTACTTTGGAAAAAAAATGTATAAATATGAGAGACAAAGTAGATTAGGGTCTTATATTTAGAACCAAAATAAAATTCAAACACAGTCTTATATTAAGGACCGGAGGTAGTATTTGATAGTATCTTAAATAGGATTATTTCTAATAGGAAGATACCTATGTATAGCCAAAAAAAAGAAAAAAAGAAAAGGCAGATAACTAACTGGTCTCATGGATGATGCTCCGTCGGTCCTTAATATTAGAAAAGATAGACTTTAAGTAGACATGTTTATAAGTACTTAATATAAGCAACTCTAAATAAGTCCTAACAACTAAGAGAACCAATCACACATGGGGGCAAGATTTAGATATGACAGTGGCTGAAATTGAAATTCATACATATTACTCTTTCGATTCTCAATGTAAGACATTTTTCAGCGTAGATGTGTCTTACATTTTAGGATCAGATTACAAAGTTGGCATAAAATCTTAGGGCTGGAAGTAAAAGAATTAAAAATTCACGGCGTCATAACCCTTGTCAGTCCCACGCCACTAGTCACACACGCCCATAAATAAGAACCAATGGAGTGGGAAACTGAAGGAACAGGAAACAAATACTACCTCCGGTCCTAATTATAAGAGCTAATTGACTAATTTGAGGAGATTAAGAAAGTAAGTTGAGTTAGTTATTTGTTCTAAATAGGTGTTGTCTTTCCTAAAATATCCTTGCTAATCAAGTGTATTAACTAGAATTATAATTATTAGAAGGATTATCTTGGAAAAAATTAAATAAATATAAAAAACAAAGTGGATTGGGGTCTTATATTTAAGATCAAAATAAAAGTCAAACATGGTGTTATATTAAGGACCGGAGATAGTATTAAGAATGGGTCTAGCATAAATTTTGTTTGCTTCCCTGTATTCATCAAAGGAACACCATCATATTTAATTTGTGTACGTGTGTAGTCAGCTACTTTTCTTGCCTTTTTAAGCTCCGGATGATTGAAGACTTGGCAATTTCGCGTAGGTTGGTGAAACTTGTGCTTTAAATGTGATGATTAATGATTGTTTGTTGTTTGAGGAAAGATGTAAAGGGTAGGACGTCTATTATTGTGTTGCATTCCAAGTGTTTGATAAAAAGAAGTTGGTGGCTAGTTATTATGATTGCCATCTTTACAAGACTCCTGTTTACCGCATGTATCCATATATCCTTCATGCTGCTATATGACGCATACGAGAACTTTAAGAGATGTGCCTCTGAAGCTTTGTTTTTATCGGGGTTAAGAGAGTTTGATTACTTAAGTGCACTAGCTACTTTCGAGGCGTGCCTTATTATTTGGTGTCACTTTTCCGTTATAGGAAAGTATTGAATCTTGTTAGGAATATGAGGAACAAAGGAATGTGATTAGTAAAAAAAAATATATATATATTATCTCTTGTTTTAATTATAAGATTTCGCTTATAATCTACAAACGAGGTTTTATAATTAAAACCGGATATAGTATTTGTGTTTGATAGTAAAATAATTATCTGTCTCTTCCTGCTGGCGCTTGATTAAACAAGTGTTCAGGGCATCATAGTGCTCTGGTTTCGATATTTTAACTGGGTTTCTTTCTATGAAGCTATATGGTACAGGTAAGAGAATAATAATGTTTCCTTTTTGATACATGCTAGCTAGCAAAACATTTTATTGGGAACGCTACTAAATATTTAGGTCTAAATGCGATTTTGTTCATGAGTTGTGTACAATCTTTTACATGAATTTTTTTTCATAATTAAAAACGAATTTGATAAATGATATCATACATGATTGCGAATATTTATAGGTGGACGAAGTATAAAATGTTGTTTGCTAACAACAAACCTATTAGCCTTAGATACTGATACACTTTGGCTGGCAAGGGAAAGAAAAAAAAAAAGATATGTTAATGCAATGTGATGATCATTAACACATGCGGATTGAAATAATAATATGTTAATTACCTCATGATGATGGACTTATGTGGGCTGAGTCATCATAGAACAATACGATCACCTGTGTGTCTATATATATCCGCATGGCTTGTGTGCCCATGATAGTTACTTCAGTTTGGCGAAGCCCTTTAAATGAACTGATATTAAAGGAAATAATTTAAAGGAGTTTTCCACTTTTGTTGTTTATTTATAAACATATTTATAAGAGGTTTTCACACATGCATGTGTGGTAAGCATATTATTCCTCCGGTTCTTAATATGAGACTCATCTAACTAATTTGGTTATATTAAGAAAGTTAGGTAAGTTAATTAATTATAAAAAATATGATACGTTTTTCCTAAAATACTATAATCATCTTTCTTAATACTCCTTCTTTTACTTCTACTTGGTTATGGATGGGGGAGTATTTATAAAGATAATTTAGAGAAAATTGATAAATATGAGAAATGGGTCTTATATTTAGAACCAAAATTAACTCAATAATTAGGTCCTATATTAAGAAACGGAAGAGTATTAGTGGTGCTATTTGTCCCCCGTGAGTGTTAATATTAATATTGAGAGTTTGAGCTCTTACTCATACCAACCCATCTAACCCTTAATAGTTTGTTATTACTAAAATACAGATACCAAAAAATAAAATCATATAAAATTAACGCTCTTTATATGTACATATATATATATATATATATGTGTATATTTAAACAAAATGACGTCTTATCATATAATGTGTCCTGTTTATTTTTTTGTTTGCAAGAAATTTAACTACTTAGAGATAGTTTAGGCAGTAAAAAATGGCATGTCATATGAATAATTATGAATGATTTAAAACGATAATCTTACCACAATTTTTTTTGGGGGGGGGGGGGAATTACCAAGATGAAAATTCTTTTTGTCGAATCCACCCATTTATCATCATAATAATAGTATAATACCATCTCTAGTCCTCAATAGAAGAATTAATTAACTAATTTGAGTAGATTAAAGAAATTAATTAAGTTAGTTATTTATAGTAAATAAGTGTTGTTTTTTTTAAAATATCCTTACTAATCAAGTGTATTGGTTAGAACTACCATTATTATAAGAATTACCTTAAAAAAATAAATAATTATAAGAGATAAAATAAATTAGTGTTTTATATTTAGGATGGAAATAAAAATTAAATAGGTTTTTATTTTAAGGATGAAGGTAATATTAATATTGATATCGACTAGTCAACTAGTGAATGGCTCCCTGAACCTGAAAAAATCCAAATTATTGAAGGCGGAAACTTGAAATGTCCAAACAGGGATGAACAAGAAATTAAGCAAACCCCGGGGGCATAAGAGCAAAATCAGGGTCGCGGAATTCAAAAAGAAGACTACAAAAAAGAGGGCATTACCGTGATTATCCACCCATCTGAAGCCCGAAGCTTGTAGCGTGAGCTTCAAGTGAGGGAAACAACACCAGCTGTACGGCCTCTCTTCCTCCGTCTTCCCCATTTCGCACTTCAAGAATCACTCATTTTACCGTTCCCTGCCACTTCTCCTTCACTGTTAGCCTCTCTGTTTCCGATCTCTCCCTCTCCCTTCTTACTCGACCTCAAGCTTTGATACGCTTCAGTGGGGTTCTTAGTGAAGCCTGACTCTTAGGAGAGGTTCCGTCCCTTTCTCCTGTAGCTATTTTTGGCTCTTTCTGCTGCAATGCTGTTCGATTTGAGTTGAGAGCGTTTGTTTCTTTCACAAAGATTTGAGCTTGACACAAGATTCAGGGTGCGAACTCAATGCTGAGGTGCTGCAGACTGGTTGTTTACAAAGGGAAACGTCAAATTCGTGGCATAGTAGAAGTTAGATTTTGAGATCTAATTGTGTTCGTTTAGGTTTTGAAGAGTTGATGGGGATGGAGAAAGTGCATTTGATTTAGAAAACCACACTTGGTGGAGCGAACGAGAAGCGAACTTAGATTCTCTCCGTAGGGGGCTTTGCGCATTCATTTGTTTGCCTCATTCTGTACGTGAGTATTAATCCGTGCCTGGGTTGGTTGGGTTTGGATTTTAGAGGATGAATCGCAGTTTCAGGGCGCAGGAGTCGCAAATGCAAGCGGCTTTAAAGCAGAGGCAGCAGCAAATGGGGGGATTAAGGTCTTCGATGATGAAGGAGAAGGATGAGGAACTTGCATTATTCCTGGAGATGAAAAAGCGCGAGAAGGAACGTAGTGATCTTCTGCTGCACAGCTCTGAGGAGTTCGACGCACCACTAAGTTCAATAGGTATAGATATGTAACATATGTTTAAGAGCTCTTATTTTATCTAAGATCAGCACTTGCATCTGTTTTTTGTTATTTTACTGTTATCCTTTGTTTTAGTTTAAGAACTGCTAAATGCTTGCTCTTCTATTGACATTGTTTACGGTGTCTTAATAATTTTCTCTTTGTTAACTGGTCTCTTTAATATTGCAGGCTCAAATGCGGGTACTTCACCCATATTTAATATTGCAGCATCTACGCCAGCTCCTGCACGTAAGACTGGTGCTGATGATTTTCTCAATTCGGAAAATGATAAAAATGATTATGACTGGTAATGTGATCCCAATCTAGTCTTCTTCATAATTTTGCTATTGTTTGTTACTTGTAGTACACTACACTGATTAGGATTGAGCCTTTTCCCTTTCTGATAGATGAAAGATTGTGGGACGTATTCATGAAGAGTATATTTTATTTTAGTGAAAAGCTGACAATTTGCCATTAATAGCTGTAACTGTAGAAAATAGTTGTTGACACATGAAAAATGCATTCATCAAATTTTCGGCCTTCAGGCTGTACTGACCATCTGCATGATAGTTTTCTGTTTTGGATTTCTTCATTATTAATTTTCTAGTTAGTCTTATTGTTAGCATTCATTAATTCCGAAGATATGTCATATTGTTTCAGTGGTCGCACTGTCAATGTTAATTTTATCTGCCTCTACTTAATTTCTGGTCGGATTACTTGTTTCTAATTCTAGAACTGTTCTTTTGATTTTTTAGTCACGGGTTTACATTTAATAACTTTCCCTTCTTTTAGAATCCTAATCACTTGGAAGGTATACGCTTTACAGTAATACAGAGTGCAACGACTTTCATAGAAATCCCCATAGAACCTCTCAAAATGGATCACGGCCCATTGATATATGAATCCCAAATAACGAGAAGTTATAGATACCTTCTGAAACTATGTGCAATAGGAATTTAATAATAATCATAGAAACACAGGATTTGACACATTAGCAGGCAAGCATTCTGTCTTTTTCTTGTGATAAAATGATAAATAACTTGAGAATTCTTATTAAGATTTTTTATTAAATTAGATTAATAACATAAATTTCAAGCTCATATGTGCTAGGTGTATGATCTAATGGGACGAATTTTCATGAACATTTTAAATATGCTAGCCATGGTTTTTTTAGACCTGTTCTTTTGATTTTTTCCCCCTTTCATTGGGAGACGTTTGATGACTGAACTTTCTTTTAGAGTCCACATCATACAGAAGTTTTAAACTCTACGGCTTGCAGCAGCTTTCATTGAAGTCCCCAAAGAACCTCTCTAAATGGGTAATGGGCCATTAACATATATGCAGAATAATGAAAAGTTATAGATGCCCTTTGAAACTACATACAAGTGGAATTCGATAATCATAGTCATAGATGCAGAAAAGCATCTGTGAGCAAACACTCTGTTCCTTACTTCTGATAGTTTCTTCTGTATGTGCGCATGCGCGTATATATATGAATGTATGTATGTATAATGTTTTGTGAAATTTTTGGACTGCAAATAGTTTAAAATTAGTCAAATTAAATATTAGGCACAGATGTGCCAGGTTTATGATCTAATGTATGCTAGACGTGCTTTTGTTAATACTGCTTGTGCTATTTCTGGGGCCCAATTGCAGTGCATAAAACTGAACATAGTTTATTTTATGTCTCTTAATATTGAAAACTGGGTAAATTATTATTGTCCAAAATGGTGCTGAGTGAAGCTCGTCTTTTCAGGCTTCTAACCCCTCCTGGGACTCCTCTTTTTCCTTCTCTGGAGATGGAATCACGAAAGACTGTCATGAGTCAGCTTGGTCCTCCAACCACACGTCCCACTGCATTAAAATCAAGAGTAAGCACTTTCACTGTAGATTTCAGAGCTTGTAATTGTGTCAATTGGTGCTAGTAACAGAAGAAAGTCAGTTGTTAAAACTCTAATTAACAGACTCATTAAATATCATTGTAACAAAGTGGAGTTAGCTTTGACAGTTAATGACTTCTGAATTCATTCTTCTATTTCCTCAGTTCTCTTCTTTTCCTACTTCTTTCTTACCTGTTGGGTTGTTGCATTCATTATGAATTCTTGGTTTTGAGGAAACAATCTTCATCTGAGTATGCAGTATGCGTAATAAACTTGACTTGGAGATATAGATGATTTACTTGACATGTAGCAACCATACTGCTTGCGGTTTTTCTAGTTGCTGATGCCTGACTAATGTAGGTCACATGTGGCATTCCTCAAGCCAAGGATTTCCGTGGATATGATGAAACTACCTTATCATCATTCTGACACATATTTTACATGTTAGACTTTGCTTAAATTGTTTGTTTATGAGAGGAAACTGTCAAAATCCATTGTTATTGCCTTGTAAATCTATCATTATTAATTAATATAGCTACAAAGGTGTTGCTCCATATTGTTAGATTTTAACATATGCCATATTACAACAGAATTTTGAATCTCCATGTTTATTGTTAGAAATTCATTTTTTTGGTTAATTGGTTCGATGTGGCTATAGTTGGCAAATCCAACCTCAGAGCCTGCTGGACGGAGCAACTTAGCATCTAAACAACCAGCTGCCTCCCCTGGCTTGAGTTCTTCAAGCAGTGGCACACGCAGGCCCTCGTCATCAGGAGGTCCAGGATCAAGACCTGCAACTCCTACTGGACGCCCAACATTGACCTCAGCTTCAAAATCATCAAGACCTTCAACGCCTACTTCTCGGGCCACCGTGTCTTCAAACAGGACCACAAAGCCCACGGTTTCTGCCACAAAGACTGCAGTTTCTGCTTCCAAGACCACAGTCCCTGCGGCTAAATCCACAACTCCATCAAGGTCCTCCACACCTTTGTCCAGGTCTACTGCTAGGTCTTCAACACCAACTTCTAGGCCTACCTTGCCTCCATCCAAGTCCACATCACGGGCATCAACTCCAACTCGGCGGCCATCAACACCATCAAGTGCACTCACTGCTCCTTCAGTTAAGACAACTTCTGTCTCCAAGCCTGCTTCCATGACGTCAAGGCAGCCTACTCCTGTGACATCGAGGCAGCCAACTCCTGTGAAATCTAGGCAGCCACTTTCGATGGCTTCAAAGCCATCAGTACCATCACATGGAACTTCGCCAACAGCAAGACCAAGACCTTGGAAGCCATCTGAGATGCCTGGTTTTTCTCTTGATGCTCCTCCCAATTTGAGGACAACACTACCTGATAGGCCATTGTCAGCAACTAGGGGCAGGCCCGGAGCACCCATTTCTCGGTCCTCATCTGTTGAGCCTGGTCCTAGTGGAAGACCTAAGAGGCAATCATGTTCTCCTTCAAGAGGGCGTTCTTCCAATGGCATGGTCCATATGAGTGGAAGCTCTATGCCAGCAGTAAGCCGTGGGCACTCCAAAGCGAATGACAATGTCAGCCCTGTAGTAATTGGCACCAAAATGGTTGAGAGGGTTATAAATATGCGTAAACTAGTGCCACCAAGGATGGATGACAAAAATTCTCCCCACAGTAATATCTCAGGCAAGTCATCTACATCTCCTGAAAGCTCAGGTTTTGGAAGGACACTCTCGAAGAAATCCCTGGATATGGCTATCAGGCATATGGTATGCATCTTTTTGTGTATTCTGTTGTTTATTTATTCTTCTGTCAGTACCAAAATTGTTACACATATATCTCACAGACTATATTGTTCATCCTGGGCATTTCATCTCTCTATTATTAATTCCCCCCCCCCCCCAAATTGATGAAGCTGGATGTGGTTCTCAATTATTTCTTTCTGTTTTACTTGGGACACAGGATATAAGGCGAACCATTCCTGGAAACTTGCGGCCATTGATGACAAATATTCCAGCATCATCTATGTATAGTGTGCGGTCAGGGTCCCAACGAAGCCGGACAATTAGCATGTCTGGTTCTCCTCATGCCACGAGCAGCAATGCTAGTTCTGAAGTGAGTGTAAACAACAATGGACTTTGCTTAGATAGTAGTGAAGTAGATGATGAAATTGGCAGTGAGAGAGGCGGCCAATCTCCTGCCAGCGTACGAGGCAGGTAAACAGCTCACACATTGGACATCTCTCCGCCGAAATATAATTAGGAACTGCGCTCCTATCCCGAATTCCAGGCATATTGGATTTGGATATGGAACTAACCATGTTCTGTTGTAAAGCTTATTGGAAGTGATTATGTAATCTTATGTATTTCAAGGAATTTGTGACATCAGGTAGCTCTATTATATGCTGCAACGTTACTGCTCATTTTTTTAAGCAGGCTGAGGTCTGTGCTACATCAAATGAAGGTTGAGCTCGTTATGGGGAACCATGAGACGATCCTTCAAAGAAATAGATGAGAAGCGGTATTTGATGCTATCATTTGCAATCTCTTGCTCCCCTAGACTTTCCTTCATTGATTTATAAAATTCTGAATCTTGTGACGCGTTTTAGATGATAAAATATTGGGAAAAATTATCTGTATGTCCTATGTAAGAAAATTACATACAAATATGTTTTTGTGGATTTCATTGGGTACTAATAGGTTTCAAGGGATTTAATATTTAGAAGCTAAATCGTTATATTGCGTAATTTACAAGTTAAACTTTATAATTTGATGTTTACGTCTAACTTTTGTATTTATAGATAGAGTTGACATTATTTGTTAGTCAGATTTCTATATGTTGAATTTCTTAAAATTTATGAAATCTGGAGGATATATTATTTGTATTTAATTTTTTTTAACCTGGGATTCATGAATAGTCTTATCATAAATATTATGAGAAGGTGATTTGCTTTTGGTATGTTAATAACTTGTCATGTCCGGGGGAATAATTCTGGTGTTGATGTTAGTGTCGTTAAGGTGGGTGAAATTACAATTATTGGGTGTGTAGCGGATTTTTCCAACTGGTGTAGGTTTTGGGTGTTAAGTTATTTATTTTTATGATGCATCAATTATTACTGCTCCGGTTATTAATATAAGATTTATTTAACTAATTTGATTAGATTAAAAAAGTTAGATAAGTACTCGTTTGGTAGGGCTTAAATTAGCCCATAAGCTGCTTATTTTGGGCATAAGCCCGATTAGAAATTCTGATGATGTTTGGGAGGGCTTAAAATATATCGGGCTTATTGAAAAATAAGCTGGCTTATCATGGGTTGGAAATAAACTACGAATAGGAGCTTATTGAGGGAGCACAAACTGTGGGCAGAAGCGCTGCCATCATTTAATGCTACAGGTTGGCGTTGAGATCGTTTTCCCAATTATACTGGGAAATGTGGTGAGATATATTATTGGAAAAGAATAACGTCGCCTTTGTTAATAAGCAAAAAGATCGTTCATTAGTTGGGTGCCTCTGATAGTTTAATTTTTATTTTTGAATGAAATTTGAAGAACAGACATTCAAAAATTCAGAAAAGAAAAGAAAAATTTCCTGTCACTAATCTCTTAGTCTCTTTATGTAAGAATAATTAATGAGCTAAAATTAGTTTAAAAAATAATTAATCATGTTTCATTTTATCTTTAAAATATTTTTTATGATTTCTCTAAAATTTTAAAATTTAATTCACTTATTAAATTATATTTCCTCATATTAAATAATTTTCAAATTCATTGTATTATGTAAAATTATTTTTTAATCATGTTTCATTATTTATTAAAACTCACACCCATTTTACTCATTTTACCACCAAACTTACTTTTATTCCATCATAATCCAAACAACCTTTTTCCAATCTCATTTTTACAAACTAACTTTTTTAAACTCAAATCCAAACACAATTCAGCTTATCCAATTTAGCTTTTACTCAATTTCACTTTTTCATAAGCCCAATTGACAATAAGCTACCTTTTCAATCACTAATCCAAACAGACCCTAATTTAGTTAATTATAAGAAATGTGACATATTTTTCTTAAAATACTATAATCATCTTTCTTAATAACCCATCTTTCTTTTCTATTTGATTATGGTTGAGGGAGTATCCATATAGGTAATTTGGAAAAAATCGATAAATATGAGAAATGAGTCTTATATTTAGAATCAAAATCAACTCAATAATTGATACTACTTCTGATTTTAATTATAAGACCTCGTCTGTAGATAAACAAAGTTTTATAATTAAGACTGAAGGTAGTAGTAGTCATTCTGTAGGCAACAACAAAACAAACAAAACTTATTATGGGCATCGCTATTTTTCTTGTGACTTGGTTGGAGTTGATACTTTTATTTTAACAATTATACTGATTTTTTAAAATTTATTTTTATTAACAAATTTGATTTCTAACATAATGCATCTTTTTCGAAAATATAACCATAATAAAAGTAAGATTATAGTGTGGTTAAAGAGACAATTTTTTTAATATAGAAAATAAATTTCATAATGATTGGAGAATTGTTGTGTTAAATAATTCTTTGGATTCGACCGTAGCTTTTAATGTCCGTTAACTCATGATGGTCCTAAAAATCTCCGAACTTAAAAATATGAAATATGATTAGGTGCGGATAGGAGCCATATGGTCATTTTATGCGGAAGATGAAGTTGCAAGTTAACTTCATTGGGAGGTCTTGCGGCCCACTTATTTGGCAGCGTCCCAAAACCATTCAACTACGAGAATGGCCATGTCGGTTGAGAGCCTAACTATGAGAGGTGTCCTGCCGGGGAAAAAAAAAAAAAAGCCATACTTTAACTTTACTTTGTTTCACTAGTTTCAAAAGTTTTAACAAGTCATGCTATTTGAGTCATGAACAGTATAATTTATGTTTTAAATTTTATTTAATGCATAGAACACACTTATTATTATAAATGATACATATAGAAATGTCAAGACCACTAGAAAACACTGGTCAATTAAACCAACAATCTAATAGGCTTACCTCTATCTTATGGCCAAGTCTTTGATCCAAGTGACAGCCTCAGTTTTGACCCTAATTGGCCATCACCAATGTTGATAAATATTATCTTCGCTCCTTAATACAAAAATTAGTTTGACATTTAATTTGGTCTTAAATATAAATCTCAATCCATTTTGTCTTACATATATATCTATTTTTTTAAAAGTAATTTTTATAGTGATTGCACATGTTAAAAGGTTTTTATGAAAGGGTAATTCTAATATACATGATTAATAAGGATATTTTAGGGAAGATAACACATATTTATTACAAATAACTAATTTAACTAATTGTTTTAATCCTCAAAAATTAATTAGTTAGCTCTTATATTAAGGATTGGAGGTAATATAATATAAAAATGTTCATAAACCCAATGCAAAATGTAAGACTCTTCCTGAACACCGAAAAAAAGAAAAAAAAACTATAGATAACATATCCAAGTGATAAGCTCAAGTTTTTCTGAGTACTAGACACGGAAGGAAATATAGATACATATACTTTCAAAAGCCAGAAGAATTTCCATATGAATGCAGATTATTTTGCATAGAACTGTTGATACCAACTGGGGACAGCCTCTTTTTAATGGCGAGCAACTCCACCAGAACATCTTTTATCCCCATCCGTTCACTGGGCGAATCTACTGAACATGCCACTCCAATCTTAGCAAAGCTGATCAAAGACTCTTGAATTTCAAATTTCACATTAGGCTTCTCTGTCACTTTAATGTGGCCTCTTTGAGATGGTATGAGCAAACTTGAGTCCACTATCTCAGTGATTCTGTCTGACAATGCCAACTTACAAAACTTGTGCAGGCTCAAATCTACTCCAAACATGCTATCTGTAGGCTTTTTTCCAGTGAGCAACCCTAACAATAGAACTCCATAGCTATAGATATCCCCTTGTGGTGTCACTGCTCCACCTCCCCCATACTCTGTGCAATAATCAATTATTTAAACGATGTAAATTCATCATCTGTTCAAAATTATTGTTGGGCCCAGATTGATTTTTTTTTTTGGTGATAACTTTTTGACCAAGCTTCAAACTTTGATCACAACTTGCTATTTTAAAAAGTGGTTATTTGAAAACATGAACTTAACAAGTCAAAAAAGTAATTGTACCTGGAGGAATATAACCAATGGTTCCTTTAATTGCTGAGGAAGGAGTTTGATCACTGCTAGAATAGCCTGTAACTTCATGAAGGAGTTTAGCTAACCCAAAGTCTCCTAAGTGAGCAACCATGTCTTCATCAAGAAGAACATTACTCAGCTTGATGTCACAATGAACAATAGCTACCTCACAATCATGGTGAAGGTAATCCAAAGCATTAGCTACATCGATGGCTATATCTAATCTTTGTACAAAATTTAGATGTAGATTTCTTGATTCACCATTTTCATTTGTTGACAGCCAGCTCTCCAAACTCCCATTTGGCATGAACTCAAAAATTAGGGCCATAAAATTGCCACCTTTGTAATCGATACTGGAACAACAAGTTAAAACCTTCAGAAGGTTTCGGTGACGGACTTTACTAAGAGCTTTGCATTCATTGGCGAAACTTTTCGATGCCCCACGTGTCTGAAGATTTAGCACCTTTACAACAATAGGTTTCTCATAGTAATGAAGTGTTCCCCTATATACAGAGCCAAAGCTTCCTGAGCCGACCAAGTTAGATGAAGAAAACCCATTGGTAGCATCATGTAGCTCTCTGTAAGAAACTTTGAAGAGCCAATTCTCCATAGAAGATGAGGAAGAAGATAACCCATTTGGCTTTCTTCTCCAATAAATACTGATGGAAACTACAAAACAAATGAAAGCACTGCCTATCACAACGATGAGGATAACGACGGTTTTAAAAGACTTCTCTGGCTTATTTGAACATGCTGGCAGCTTCAATTCAGGTATCCCACCACAAAGATCCTCATTTCCTGTGAGTTGGATAGCAGTGGTGTGATCAAACACTCCTCCTTTTGGAACCTCACCTTGGAGATGGTTGAATGAGAGGTTTAAGGCCTCCAAAAATGGAAGATCTTTCAATTCATTGGGAATTCTGCCTGACAAGTTATTTCTGGAAAGATCCAAGAATTCAAGAGATTTTAGCAAACCAAATGATGAGGGAATACTTCCTTGGAAAAAGTTTCCATTCATGAACAGCAGTGACAGCCCTGAACATTCACCTAGTGCAATTGGAATATCGCCAGACAATTTGTTTTCAATAACATCTAGTTCCACTAAATGCTTCAGGTTACCAAACTCTGATGGAAGGGGACCGGTCAAGGAATTGTAAGACATGTTAAGAACTACTAAATCTTCTAGCCGACCAAATGTATCATTGGGTATATTACCGCTCAATTTGTTTTTGGAAAGAAACAAATTCTGCATATTTTTGCAATCTCTGACGGCATCTGGAATACTTCCCTCAAAGTTGTTGTTGTTTAAATACAAATCGAACAACTTGGTAAGATTGCCCAGAACCGCAGGAATATTTCCAGATAATTGGTTTTTTTCGAAGTATGTCCTTCCAAGATTTTTCAGTTTTCCAATTGAAACTGGAATTTCGCCTTGAAGAAGGTTCCCTCCCATATCAAGAAATGTTAAGCCAACTAGTTTCCCAATCTCTTCAGGTATGCTTCCAGAGATCTTATTGTGTCCCACAAGAAGTGTATTCAGTGGTGAAGTGAAGTTTCCAATTGACTCTGGCAATACACCACCAAATCCATTTCCTTGTAGGCTCAATGTAAGCAATTGGCTACAGTTGGTTAACGACGAAAGGAAATCCAAGTCACCATTGCTTCCACTCCCCAAAATATTGAAGTCAATGTTCATTTCAAGAAGATTTTGGAGTCTTCCCAAAGAGGTGGGGAATGGCCCACTGAAACGATTTGCAACTAGATCTACGCTTTGCAATCGAGAGAGGTTGGAAAATGTGGGGGGAATTGTTCCAGTTAAAGAGTTGCTTCCAACCCAAAAAGTTTGAACATTGGGGAAAGAAAGGTCTATATTCGATGGAATAGTTCCGAACAAGTGGTTAGATCCCAAATCAAAAATCACGACATTGGAAAGATTATAGAGTGATAAAGGGATTATTCCAGACAAATTATTTTGAGCTAGAAGAAGATCGCTCAAACTTGTCAACCGGCCTAGAGTTTGAGGTATGCTACCTTGGAGATTATTTCCCGGAAGAGACAAGACCCTCAAAGACGAAAGATTTCCCAAGGACTCTGGAATACTACCAGAGAACTTATTGACATCAAGGTGCAAAGCATTTAGTGATCGCATTGATCCTAACCAGGGGGGAATTTTGCCAGTCAAGTTATTGCGGTTGAAGACTACTAGTTGCAGATTTGAACAGTTAGCAAGCTCTATGGGAATCTCTCCCTGAATGTTATTAAGCCTTAGGAAGAGAACCTGCAACCGTTTGAGACGGCCAATTTCTTTGGGGATCTCACCATGCACTCTGGTAAAAGTAATATTTATTAGTTTAAGGAAGGTAAGATTACCTATTGCTGGTGCAAGACTCCCATCGAAACTCGGACCTGCTAACTGCAGTTTAGAGACCCTGATGTGAGGAGCACTGCAGGAAACACCCTCCCATTTACAGAAGTGGAGAGAACTGTTCCATGAAGGTAGAACTTGAGGATTGCCATTTGTGAGCTTGTCCTTCAAAGCAAGTAGAGCTAGCCTATCAGTTTCTGGACCCATAGGCTTGGCAGATGCAAGTGGCAGAAAGTTTTGTGAAGCTATGATGAAGGGTCTGTTTGGGTGACACCCCAAACCATGGTTTGGGGACCCAAACCATGGTTTGGGGATTTAGTCACCCAAACATCCCCTCCAAAAATCAAAACCATGGTTTTGGAAAAAGCAAAATTTTTTTGCTTTTGGAGAAAAAAGGGAGAGTGTGAGGGCCTATATGATATGTATCTTGTTATTTTTTTTATAAATATATTTAATCTTATATTTTATAAATATATATACACATTAATTATTTATTAATTATATTATCTTATGTATTATTAATTATGTTGGTAAAAAACATATTATTAACAATTTTATTCCTTCAAATTAAAATATATCATAAAATCTATTTTTTATGTAATTATCATATTAACTTATGTCTTTTTTTTAGTAATTTGTATATATAAAAAGTGCTTTTGATAACAACTATCCAAACACTCTCACTTCTCAGAATCACTTTTTTACAAAATCTATTCTTCACAGAATCTATTTTCCCCAAAATCTATTCTCCAGAATCATTTTTTCAAACCACGGTTTGATTTCATCCAAACACACCCGAAATAGAGCAGCAGAGAATTGACGGTGGCAAAGTAAGGGATATTCATTTTGGTTATTTGTGAGAAGGAATTTTGGAAGTTGTGTGGCATGCAGTGCATTTAGATGCGTTACTTATAAAGTTTACAATTAGCTTCATTTCATAGGCTTTACTAAGACTTAGAAACCAGCAAGTCAAGAAGCTTGCGTGCGCGCGATCGAGTCACTTTCACAGTAGGCTGCTGAAGCCGAGCAAAAGTCAGCGAAGCCAAACTTGACTGACTTACTGCGTTATTCCGGTAAAAAAGCACTACCTCCTGTCCTAATTATAAGAGCTAGTTAACTAATTTGAGGAGATTAAAAAAGTAAGTTGAGTTAGTTATTTGTTTTAAATATGTATTGTCTTTCCTAAAATATCTTTACTAATCAAGTATATTGACTAGAACTATAATTATTAGAAGGACTATCTTGAAAAAAATTGAGTAAATATGAGAGACAAAGTAGATTGAGGTCTTATATTTAGGACCAAAATAAAAGTCAAACAAGGTCTTATATTAAGGATAAGAGGTAGTAGTTTATTTTCAATCTGATTTTTTAAAAAAATTAAATTAGATAAAAGTTAGATTGGATAATGTGATTTATGGTTGGATTAGCTTTTGAAAAAGTTAGATTAAGTAAAAATAGAAGTTGTTTGGATAATGATTGAATAAGTAAGTTTAGTTTATAAAATTACCAAAATAGATATAACTTTATCAGATATTGAGTCCAAAAAAAAATTATCAGATAATGTAAAATTAAAAAAACTATAAATTTACATAACACCGTAATTTTAAATTATTTTAATTGGAAGAAGTTAATTTTAATGAAATAAATATATTTAGCTTAAAAAATTTACAGAACATATTTTTTAATATGGAAATAATTTCTAAATTTAGATTTAATTCAAATAAAAGTTTCCTAATATATCAGAGAAATAAGATGCCAAAAATGGGGAAAATCTCTACAGAACTCCTAGCAAAAAGCTACCGTTAACTATGCTAAAATGCGTGGGCATGTATTCACCACCTCTTTTATTAATTTTTTTATTTATAACTTTTTAGCAACAGATCATTTTCCTTTTCTTTGTCTCCTTCAAAATCTAGACCACCAAACTTGCAACGGAACCGGTCAACTTTTGCCTTGCTCTCGATGGTGTGATGGCGGCCGGCAGTTGGAGACAGCCAGCACGATTAGGCGACGGCAAGGACAAGTCGGATGAGAGGAGGAAAGAAGTAGATGAAGGAGCAAAAAAAAAAAAAATGAAGCCAAGAAGAGTGAGTGGAGAGTGGGGGCGAAAAAGTGGGAAAGGTTTTTTTTTTTTTTAAAGTAATTACTGTTTAACAGTACCTTACCATCCATATAAAAAAGCAACAAGTAACTTTGAGGGGCTTAACTCAATCGGACTTATGAATCTAGCTTTTAGCCATAACAGGCAGAATTTCTTAAACGTGTTTATAAGTTGAATAAGTTACTTCTAAGCGCCCCAAACATCTAAACAAACACAGCCTTACTACGGTTAGAGTAACGAGCAGGGAATCTCCAGACACCACTAATGCATGGATAACTACGAAATCCCTACTTGCCTCATGCGTAGAAAGAGCCAGTTGTGTTCTCCAGTTCATTATATTTACTACCAGCATTAACTCCAGCTTGACTTTGCTTTATCACAGTTACATGACTTGTGATTCTTGGGAAAATTACAGTGAAACTTACTATTTTCCCTTAACATGACGGACTTTGCAGCAGCTCACGATTCTGGGAAACGTCTCGAGAGCATGAAAATTCATAACACTTGGCTGTACAAGGCCGATATAATATACTACCTCCGGTCCTAATTATAAGAGCCAGTTGACTAATTTGAGAAGATGAAGAAAGTAAGTTGAGTTAGTTATTTGTCCTAAATAGGTGTTGTCTTTCCTAAAATATCCTTGCTAATCAAGTGTATTAACTAGAACTATAATTATTACAAGGTTTATCTTGGAAAGAATTGAGTAAATATGAGAGACAAAGTGGATTGAGGTCTTATATTTAGAACCAAAATAAAAGTCAAACAGGGTCTTATATTAAGGACCGGAGGTAGTATTTAGACTTGCTCTTTATCAGTTTTGTTGTTCTCGAGACTGTGGGGGAAATTATATGTTGAATGTATTAACTTTGCTTTATTGGGCCAATGTTATTTAGTCAGGGCCCATTAAGTGAGGCCTATAAATGTATCATAAACCGAGACAGAAAGCAAGTAGTGTAATTTTTCTCAGAAATAAAATACATGTAGTATTCAGATACGTTGCTGAGCCTCTGTTTCTTATCATGGCATCCGAGCCCAGGTTGGAGGTCCATCACGCTTCAGAGGCCCACAGAAACTAAAGTTCTCTCGCCTCCCTGAGAATTCAGAACAGACCAGAGGTCAAACCGCGAAATCAAGAAACACACCGTAATCCCCAAATTCTTGAACCCTAAGTCCACGACGGTAAGAACAATGGGTGACGAGAGAGTATCCGCCGACGCACTGATCAACTTTGCTTATCCGCTTTACCTTCACCCCTCCGACATGCAGGGAGTCTCGATCATCAATCAAATCTTAACCAGGAGCGAAAACTATACGATATGGAGCAAGGCGATGCTCATCGCGTTAAGAGGAAAGAATAAAATCGGATTCATAGATGGATCTTGCAAGAAATCCGACCAAGAACCTGAACTTCAAAGTCACTGGGAACGCTGTAACGCTGTGGTAATGTCCTGGTTGCTGAATTTTGTTTCTAAAGATTTGGCAAATAGCTTGGTTTATCTGCAAGAGGCGTGCGTCGTTTGGGAAGACCTCAAGGAACGATTTGATAAGGTATCTGGGTCCAGAATCTTTTCTTTACATCGAGAGATACACTCTCTACGTCAAGGAGAGCTCTCGGTTTCTGCCTACTATTCGTATCTTAAGGAGCTTTGGGAGGATCTGGCCAGTCTGATAGCGGTTCCGCTATGTAAGTGCGCTGCATCTAAAGAGTATAGTGAAGCAATGCAACGCCAAAGATTACTCCAATTTCTAATGGGCCTAAGTGATCTGTACGACAATGCAAGGAGTCAGATACTCCTAATGCATCCTCTGCCGACAGTCAATCAATCTTATGCTATGATTTTGGAAGTAGAAGCACAAAGAGGCATCACAAATATGGATAAGATCAACCCCACAGAGGGAGCGGCAATGATCGCCAGGGGCAGAGGAAGAGGAAGAGGGAGGGGAAGAGGAACCCCTCCCCCAGAATGTGACCACTATCATAAACGGGGTCACGTGAAAGAAAATTGTTGGGAAATAATCGGATTCCCAGCTGAGTATAAAGGAAATAAATCCAAGCAGAGTCAAGAAGTCAAAGCTAGGCAGAATACTGGAAACCGGGAAGGAGAGGCACTTACCAATGTTTCAAGCGTCTCACCGAGTTTCACACTGGAACAATATGAGCGCCTGCTGGAGTTGTTGAAGAAGGATTCAGACGTTAACGCACATGCACTCAGTGGTACAGGTTTGCCAATTCTAACCGTAGTAAGTGGGTTTTAGACTCAGGAGCCACTACACACATGGTTAGTGATTTAAGGTTACTAGACAATTACAAACCTTATAATGGACCGATCAAAACCATAAAAATTCCAAATGGAGATAGATTTTCTGTAACTCATATAGGAGATGTTAAATTCCCTAATGGAATTGAACTAAAAGGCCTTCTTTATGCTGCAGAACTTCAATTTAATCTAATTTCTATCTCTAGAATCACTAAAGAACTATTTTGTGTTGTCTCCTTTTATCCTGATAGATGTATATTGCAGGACCTACAGGATGGCAGAATGAAGGGGATTGGTAGAGTAGTTCATGGATTATACCTGTTGGATTTAGAAAAGGATTTGGCTAGTATAGAAATTAACAATGATACTTGTTGTTCTGTTACTCATACTGATTTGTGGCTTTTACATAAGAGACTTGGACATACTCCTATGAATGTAATGAGACATTTGGATATTGTACAAAACAAAACAATGACTATGAATAAAAATTGTGATATTTGCTTTCAGTCTAAGCAAACTAAGCTCCCTTTTCCTTCCAATTGCATTAAAAGTAAGAATGCCTTTGATTTACTCCACATGGATGTTTGGGGACCTTACAAAGTGCCCACACATTCAGGTTTTCAATTCTTTCTAACAATTGTAGATGATTTTTCTAGGGCAACTTGGACTTATCTCATGAAGCATAAATCTGAAACTGCTTACCATATTAAATTTTTTTTTGCCTATGTTATGAATCAATTTGGAGTGTCTGTTAAGATGGTAAGGAGTGATAATGGAACCAAATTTGTTAACCATTAGTTAGGATCGTTTTTTCAAGAAAAGGGAGTGATTCACCAAACCACTTGTCCCTATACCCCAGAACAAAATGGGATTGTGGAAAGGAAACACAGGACCTTAATGTAGATTGCAAGAGGTTTAATAATTGAGTCTGGTATACTTGTTAAGTTTTCGGGTGAATGTGTCAAAATGGCAACTTATTTAGCTAATAGAATTCCCAGTTGAGTTTTAGGTTTTAAAACCTCCTATGAGCTCATTCATGGTCAGCCTCCTAGTTATGATCATTTGAGAGTTTTTGGTTGTTTGGCTTATGCAACAGATTTAGTAAATTCGGATAAATTCCAGCCTAGGTCCCTACCGTGTGTCTTCTTAGGGTATCCTAACAATCAAAAGGGTTATATATTGTTGGATCTAAAAGATCACAGGGTTTTTGTTAACAGACATGTAAGATTTTTGGAGGATGTTTTCCCTTTTCAAATTAAAGATGGTTTTAATCGAGGGGGAGTGTCTAATGAGATTAAACAGATGTTTTATTTTGATGATCATAATGATAATCCACAGATTTTAACCAAACCTCATCAGGAAGGGAATCAAATTCAGAATGATGCTATAAGAAATACTAGTAATCAGATCTCTATTAGTGAAAATGCAGTCCCTATTCCTGTTAGTGAGCGTCCTGTCCGGAAAGAAGACCACCTATATGGTCTAGAGATTATATTTGTAATTTGGCTCAATCAAATTCTGATAAAACTTCAATGCGCAGGTCTGCTTGCAAATATCCTAAAGAAAATTACATTTCATATGACAATATTTCTCCTTCTTATATGTGTTATCTTTGCTCTATTGATGCTATTACTGAGCCTATATATTATAATGATGCTGTTCTTGATCAGAATTGGGTTGTTGCTATGAAGAATGAAATAGATGCACTAGAACAAAATAGTACTTGGGAATTAGTTCCCTTACCCAAAGGAAAGCAACCAATAGGTTGTAAATGGGTTTATAAAGTGAAATATAAACCAGATGGGACCATTGATAAATATAAAGCAAGATTGGTGGCTAAAGGTTACAGTCAAATTGAGGGAGTAGATTATAATGAAACCTTTTCTTCTGTAGTAAAAATGGTTACTGTTAGGACTGTTTTAAAGTTAGCTGCTGTAAATAATTGGCCTTTGTATCAAATGGATGTGAATAATGCATTTTTGCAGGGAGATCTTGATGAAGAAGTTTACATGACCATACCTCAAGGTTTTAAAAAACATGGAGATAATATGGTATGTAAGCTGAAGAAATCCCTATATGGGCTTAAACAAGCCTCAAGGCAGTGGAATCAAAAATTGTCACTGTCCTTGATCAATGGGGGATTTCTATAGAGCAAGCATGATTATTCTTTGTATACTAAACATTATGATGATGCCTTGGTGATTATTTTAGTTTATGTAGATGATTTATTAATCACTGGTAGTTCAGAATAGAGAATTAATCAGGTTAAAGATTTTTTACATGGCCAATTTAAGATTAAAGACTTAGGTATTATGAAATACTTCTTAGGAATTGAAGTAGCAAGGTCTAAGAAGGGTATTATGTTAACACAACGAAAATATACTTTAGATCTTCTTGCTGAAACAGGGATGAGTGGTTGTAAGCCTCTCACTTTGCCAATGCCACAACACTTGAAGTTAATTGCCTATGAAGAAGGGAGGCACAAAAGGGAGGATCTGTACAAGGAGCTAGGGAAGTATAGGAGGCTAATAGGAAAATTGATTTATTTAACTCTAACAAGACCTGATATCTCTTTTCTTGTATAGGTCCTAAGTCAATTCATGCAACAACCAATGAAGTCTCATTGGTCAGCTGCCATGGGAGTTCTGCGGTACCTAAAGCAGTCACCTAGACTTGGGATTTGGTTGAGCTCTAAAGGGGATCTGAAGCTTAGCTGCTTCTGTGATTCAGATTGGGGGGTCATGTGAGACCACGTGCAGGTCCGTGACTGGTTATCTTCTCAAGCTAGGAGATACGCTGATAGTCTGGAAAACAAAGAAGCAAGCTACTGTTTCAAGGTCTTCAGCTGAAGCAGAGTATAGAGCACTAGGTTCAGCCGTCTCTGAGGTTGTCTGGGTGAAAGGGCTTTTGTGTGATCTGGGAATTTCTATACAGCAGCCAGTAGAAGTGTATTGTGATAGCAAATCTGCAATTCACATCGCTACAAATCCGGTCTTTCATGAAAGGACAAAACATATTGAAATTGATTGTCACTTTGTGCGTGAGAAAGTGACAGAAGGACTTATCAAACTACAGCATGTCCGGTCAGCAGAACAAGAGGCAGATATATTAACTAAAGCTATTAGTAAGGAGATTCAGTTAAAGTTACTTAGCAAGTTAGGAGCCTCTGATGTATTCCAGCCCCAAACTTGAGGGGGGTGTTGAATGTATTAACTTTGCTTTATTGGGCCAATGTTATTTAGTCAGGGCCCATTAAGTGAGGCCTATAAATGTATCATAAACCGAGACAGAAAGCAAGTAGTGTAATTTTTCTCAAAAATAAAATACATGTAGTATTAAGATACGTTGCTAAGCCTCTGTTTCTTATCATTATACGATGGTGGTAGGATCCACATAACTCCCTGTATTGACAACTTTAAAAACAAACGGAGCTGGATATTTCAGAGAATTAGCTCCCTGGTGAAATTCAGGACCCTCATAAAATTGCAAATACACGGTAACTTTTTTGGAGTGAGTTTCACAGTCCTTTTTCTACCACTCCTTTGAAAGTCTTTAGGCTAATTATTCACTTTAGTTAATACCACGGCAAATTTAATTTAATAGACAGCCATTTGTGAGGAAACGCCTTCCCATTTACATAGGTGGACAGGATGGGTTCCATGAAGGCAGAACTTGAGGATAGATATTTGGGAGGCTGTCCTTCACAGCAAGCAAAGCGAGCTTATCAGTTTCTGGGAAGTCATATTGAAGAAGAACAGTTGAAAATTGAAGCATGTACTGAGCAGAACCTGAACTTCGAGGAACAACCATTTCACTGTTTAGCATTTCATATATCTGACGTGCATGCAGTGGATTTAAATCTGTTGCTTTATTAGGATAATTCATTTATGGATGGTAACCGTACACACCACAGTTTTTCATTTTCATTTCTAAGGGGCAAAGTTACTAAGGAGTGTTTGGGTAGAAATAAAATCATGGTTTTAAAAATAGTTTTATAGTATACGAAATAAATATATGAAGGAGTTTGTCTCGATTTGATTTACAGAAAAATACTTATGAAAAATGTTTTTGGATTAGCCAAACACCCCGTTTTTTAAGACCATTGACCAATCATTAAAAATCATCATTATTGAGTTATTTCTGATGAACAATATTACATATTACACACACGCGTGCCAAGTTTCAAAAGGCTCGCTTGAGTTGAGTCACTTTCATTCTACAGTTGCTTAAGCCAAACTAATCAAGCGTTCCAGCGCTACGATGGAGGGAGAGAGAATGAAAAGAAAATTGAAGGCATGAGCCATAACAGTGATGAAAAGTACTACCTTCTCGTGTCACCGGCGCACCTCCACTACCTTATATCATCAGCATGCGTTCAGATGAGTATGGATATCTTTTTGACTTTTCAAAATCAATAATTTGAGTTTTTTTTTTTTTAGAAAACTAAACTTCTATACCATTAAGCTACAAGGTAGTTTGCTTAGCTTGATTTATTGACACTTAGATGGACTGACCTTATTTCTCCAATCCCAAAATGTCTCGGCAAGGTTGAGTTGAGTGAGATGCAGAGGACGTCAAAATGGCTGAAGAAAAGCAGTCTCAGCCAAGTCAATGGAACGAGCAAGAGCCGCAGCTTTGTTGAGACATTCTTGGTGCTCATCGTCTGGGTCACTGTCTGCCACAATACCAGCTCCGGCTTGAAGATGCGCAACCCATTCTCTGCGTGTCTTGTTCACGTCATTGTACGAGTACATTGTCTCATTCTTAGCTCCCGTCGGAAACACCATTGTTCTCAGAGCTAGTGCGATATCCATGTCACCGTTGAACGATATCCACCCAAATCCGCCGCTATATGGCCCTCGCCTCCTCACCTCCAACTTATCAATCAACTCCATCGCCTTCACCTGAACCCACTAACCCTAATTATACAAAAACGATTGACCGGTAATGATGTTTTATACGAATGAGAGGGTTAACAGTGTTTGTATATGGACCTTTGGCGCTCCGCTGACGGTTCCGACCGGCAACGCTGCTCGCAGGGCATCCCAACCAGTCAGGTGGTCTTGCAACTCTCCGGTGACCTGAAATAATTGTATTATGAGTTGCAGTAAATTATGTGTACGTATATGGCCGTTAAAGCTCAGGGACAGGTTCTGACCGTTGAGCTTATGTGCATAACATGGGAATACCGTTCAACATCCATAAGCTTTTCCACTTTCACTGAGCCACTTTTTGAGACCTGGAAACAGAGCAACTTCTTACCAACAGGCATTATTGTACTCCTCACAGTCCCATGATACAAAAGTTCAAGATATGTTTTAAGATCCATAGCTACTTGGGCTTTTAATGATCCACGCGGTACGAAGTTGATCAATTTGTAGCTGTCACGGGATAAAAGAGTAATAGGGTATGTACAAGTAACCATAATTTCAAGACACACCTTCCCAACGTCATTGCGTCCCACATCCACCAGCATTAGATGCTCTGCACATTGCTTTTCATCGTTCAGCAGTTTCTTTTCTAACTTGCCATCTTCATCAATTGTCTTCCCTCTTCTAGTTGTCCCAGCCAATGGACGATTCACGACCTTCTTCTGTTAATCATAATATAAAGTTTCTTGCCTAAATGACAGACTAATCTGATAAATCTATTGATGTGACAGACTTTTCTGGTGATTAGCTGAAACAAGAAGAAAGTTACCTCCTCTATACGTGTAAGAATCTCAGGACTGGAAGCAACCAGAATGCATCCCCTTGCCTATTTGATAAATACATAAAACAAAATCATATAAATCTGTTGACCACAAAAACCTACTTGAAAGAAGCAGAGATATGTTGTTTGGAGATGAACCTGCAAATAAGCCATATAAGGACTTGGATTAACCACCCTCAGTGCTCTATATATGTCAAATGGATCAGCAAATGTTATGCGTTCAAAACGCTGACTCAGAACGATCTGAAAAATATCCCCTGCTTGAATATGGTCTTTTGCTTGAAGAACTGCATCCTTATATTCTTCACTTGTCATATTTGAGTTCTTCAAAGGAGCACCAAACTGGCGAGTATGAAGTTTGACAGAACCTGGACATAGCTTTGGGCTAGCGACGATGAAACTCTGAATTAACTTCGGTACAATGGTTAAATAACAGCTAAAAAAGTGATTACAGGCATGAACAGATAACTCACGGGATGCTATCCTGTAATCTGGCCACTAATTTTTCTAACCGTTCCTTTCCATCTTCGTAAGCATTCTCTGCTGAGGAGTACCTCTCTAGCCTCACCCAGTGAATCACATGTACTTTCTGTTTAGGGGGGGCGAGAGAGAGAATTGAAGTCTTTCCAATTTTTCTTTTCAAGTCAATGTAGTCGAAATAAATAAATAAAAGATACCTTCTCGACATGGTCAAAGACAATTACATCATCGTAGAGGCTGAGATGCATGTCAGCGAGGTTTCTGTCATCCTCAGGAGCCCTTGAAAATGGGACCTTTTTCTTTTCCACGTAACGAACTGCATCGTATGAGAAATAGCCAACCCAACCTCCTGTGTAATCGAAGCATACGCTAATTAAAAGTTCTGTAGAACAGAGTTAAATATCAATGCTGGTAGAATTCTTTCATTTTTTGATACACAAGATATGTACGGTTGCACGTACTAAAATTCTGAAGAAGACAGTAACCTCAAACGGATCAATATGAAATGAAACGTTTAGATGTCGAGCATTAAAATGAACTCTGAAACTTATAGAATCATGATGGTTGACAAGATCCTATTTTGGGAACATGGGTGTGAGGAAATTAGCATTCTCACCACAGAATGCGTCTGGAAGTTCATCAGAGAAATGGGGTTTCCATCCCTCCGAGATTTTTCTGGGAATTTCCATGGGATCATCGACAATATCCTCAGTTAAGGTCCCAAGTTCATGATCTATTACTGTAACCTTGTTTTCCTTTGATACAATCTCAGTTGTTGGCTGAGCTCCTGCAACACTATAACGCCCCTGCACGAATCAAAACAATCCTGGATTTCTGTCCAAGGCAGACTAAACAAACCATTTAATATTTCAAAATGATGAAGCTAGGATCGAAATTAAACACACTTACCACAGTTGAAACTTGAAAATTGGGCTCTGTAGACTCGAAAAGAAAGCTTGGAGCCTCCCGGTCGTCTTCCTTGACCAAAATCCGGTAAGCAAGAACAGGGGTAAGCTGATCAGAGAATATGCATCGATATAAAGGAATCAAATTTCGACTTCGTGAAGCTTCTTCGAACTTTATTGCCTCATCAGCTGCAAAATAAATCCATGATTAGCCCCGGCACAAGAAACAAGTAATGAAATAGTACTGCAGCATCATTAAAAGCCCCTGCTCCGTTCTGAGTACAGTGCCATGCAAAATGTATGGTGTTCTACTATAGTTTGAAGTATCAGGGGTTGATCGGAGAAGAGCTTCAATCAACAATCTTCCTTCTCCAGGAAGAAACCAAGCATATAAACACTAAAGATCAGATCTTTAGCAACACTAGTTGGACTTCTTTGCGTTCAATTCTCTTGTAAACCCCTAAGTATTGTAGAAACTCAAGAGCACTTGCAAAGACTCACCATAAGAAGATGGGCTTAAGAGTGACGAGCATCTTAATGCAACTGAGGTTGGGCCACCCACTGAAACACAGGTGGTCGATGCCGAAGAGAAGCGGCGGCTGAAGGGAAGGAAAGGGTGAGGTAATGATAGAGAACGCATTGCGGCAGGATTGGTGGTTATGAAATTGAAACATGATGGGGTGGTCTGAATCTTTGCAGATATCATGTCTGTAACTGTAAGAAGCTTTGTGAAGAGATTAGAAGGGCTTAGTGGTTATATAGGATCTCTGTGTCATAAAAAACTCAAATTTATAGAATTTCCATGACATTATGGAACTGTACATTCCTCCATTAAATTGGCGAAAGTGCATTCCATGTGGTCATCATTGATAAGCATGGGGTGCTGATCAGAGATCATAAATCCATATGTATTGTATGGATTGAATTTGGATGAATTTAATTTTTTTAAAAATATTTTTCATACTTTTTTTCTTCTTCTTGGTGAAATTTAATCTATTTTTTTAAAAAAATACAAAGTCTCTTGACAGTAATTTAAAAAAAAAATTGATCGTTTCAGAAATTACTGTTTAAAAAATTTTAAATCTGATTTATTAAAATTGAATTTAGATTTTGAATGATAAAGATTCCGTGGTAAGAATAAACATCATGGGCTGACATTGTCATGAGCATGAAAGACAATAGAGTAAACTTGTATGTATGACTGGTCAAAAACAACTGGCGTATGAAAGCTATATGGAAGTTTTAATTTAAAATCTCAACAGCTAAGTTGGAAATGATATAAACTTTAATTGGTCGAGAAAAAACTAACGCCTATAAAAGTTATATTGTGAGTTTGAATTGAAAATATCAAAAGCGAAGCTGGAAATCATGAAAACTTCAGTTGAAAACCCCAAAAGCTGAGAAATACTAGCTAGCCATACTTAATAGATGGGCTAGATAAATAATTTTCAAATATCAAAAAAATTAATTAAATTAATTATTTATAATAAATAAATTCTATCTTTCTCAAAATACTTCTATTAATTATGTGTATTGAAACTACTATTTAATGAAAACTACTCCCTCTGTCTTTTATTATAAGAAACAACTAACAAAATTGTAGTTCAAAATGTTAGTTAAATTTAGTTAATAACAATAAATATGTAATATATATACATATTTTTTTAATTATATCCATATTTGTAAAGAGAGTAGATAAGAGATAATAAGTGAAAATTTATTATAGAAAGATAATAAGTAGCATATATTTAATGTAGGTAAAGGGAAAAGTCTCATTGATATAATTATGTGGTATACTAGACAAGAGACAACACTGGTGACCCAAGAAGGTGGCCAGCCTAACTTGGTGTGGTCCGCTCTATCGCGCAGAACGGAACCGGGTATACATTTGTCTCGTGTTGCATGTTTAAAATAAGGGGATAGGTACCAACAAGTATTGGTTCACATAAAAAGAATTTAAATACCTTAGACATCATGTCGTGGGTTTGATTTTAGACGGTGTGTATGGAACAAATATTATTGGGGGATCCCCGCTATGACATCTGACAGTACCCTAAAAGATTAGTCTCTTATTATTGGGGTGAGAGAATACTCTGGGTAACCAAAAAAAAAAGAGATGGGTAGCAGTAAGTTATTAGTTGAGATGATAAAAGGTTTCATCTCCGTAAGAAGAAAAATATAAGTTTGAATTTCAAGAAGCACACTTATTATGAGGGTTTTAACCTTAACACTCCTAGCCAGATAAAAATTAGTCTCAAACTCAAAAGGATTTGAGGATACTCTTGAGTTATACTAGAAAAAATAAGTGAATCGTTTTATTTTCTTTTCTTGTGGGCTTTAAGCCTTCTTTTGTATCAAAATAATAATAATGATACCAAGCGAATTGTTGTTATGTCTAAAAATGACTTGTTTTGGATAGAATTGTTGGAGGAATTACATGATTGGTCCTCCTTCCGATTCAAAATGTAAGATAAATTTTATTTATTTACATTTATTAAGAAATTAGTTAAAATCAGTCCAAAATAATAAATATGTAAAGCATGTATTTTTTTCCTCAAATATACCCTTGTTAATGGAAAAAAAGAGAATATATGAGGTAAGATTAAAAAATACTCATTAAATATTTAGACAAAAATAGATATTATCTTATGAAAAAAAATCAAATCCGCGAACAAAGTTTAACTTATTTTTTTTAGGAGCCTAGGCTTGGTAAGCTCCACACTTTTGGTTGGGCCCAAGTCTAATATTCCAGTCAGTGGGCGAAAGATGAAATGGAGTAATAGGGAAGGTTAGGTCTTATGCATCACACCTATATGCTTTTGGAATGTATGGAATATGAGTGAAAGAGTTTATGAACTGAGGTTTTGTAACAGTCTCTTAACCATTTTATGAAAGACTAGTGAAACGGTGAACAATTGAGTATTGGTTATGTTATATAGAATTGAAATAGTTTTTTTAAATGATTAAAAATCAATAAAAACTCTAAGGATATGATAACAAGAAGGAAAAAGAATTATAGAGACCTAATTAAAAAGAGGTAAATTTATAAGAATTTGATAAAAGAAACTCTAAAAATCTGATTAAAAATCATGGGAAACTATACGAACTTACAAATTAATTTTTTATTCTTCCGGCTTAAGAAGGTGTTACAAAGTTCACGTGATATTCATTTTAAATGGCCAAACAATTCAAGTGATAAAAAAATCTTTATTCTCTTTGTTTTATGAGTTACAATTTTTTCTTTGACAACATATGATGAGTCGCCGCTGACTCACATATCCTAGCCTTGGCGTGTCATGAATTCGCCCACTTCATAGGGAGGAGATTCATCATACTTCAAGGAGATGAATATCATTATATAAATGATACCGTTTTGCAAGTTAACGTATTAGGTATTCCTCTGGTCCTAAATATAAAATCAATATAAATTGCACTACAAATGAGCTTTATATTTAAATTACATTACAAAATAAGTTTTATATTTAAAATTAAAAAAGTATTGTATTTGTCACGTTTAACAAAGTTGTGACTGGTGAACAGCGATGGAGACCCCTGCCTGCCACGAACACCATTTATAGAGGGTAGACAACGAGAGAACCTTTAACATTGCCTTTTCACGTTCAAAACGTTTTTAATATAAAAACTAATTGACTAATTTGAGTAAATTAAAATTAGTTAAATTAGTTATTTATAATAAATAAGTATTGTTTTTTTTGAAATACACTTACTAATTATGTATATTAACTAGATCTGTCATTTAATAAAACCTTTAATATGTGTAATTACAGTACTACCTTAAAAAAAAATAAATATGATAAACAAAATGAATTAAAATCTTATAATTAGAACAAAATTAAAAATTAAATTAATTTTTATATTAAGAACAGGAGGTAATATTTGAATTTATACGGACAACACAACGTGCGATAAGGGACTTCATTTCATGATTTATAGGCCAATTTTAAGCGGTTGACAGTGCAACCACCACCCCATGCAACTAAACGATTGACACGTTGATGCTCATAAACCAAGTTGCTCAACCTCCATGATTATTGGCTTGGCTTCTTATCCTTTACCTGAACTGGAATTAAGTACCTGGCTGTTCTGAGAACCGATGTGAATGATATTCAGATAACCACGGGTTCAAACCAATGACACTAAGATAACCACGAGTTGAAACCAATTTAACCGCCAGGAAAGTGGCCACACAATGAGTTTGTAGCAGATTGCTGGTTTCACATAAACTAGTTAAGTGTCCTTAAAATGTGACGTGAGAATAGTTTTATCTCCGGAGTTACTGAAACCCTTTGAAAACGGGTTTCTAGACACTAATTTCCTAGCTTTACAGGTGGTATGTGCTGAGTACAGTTTTAAATCAGACGCGTAAAAAAATTTCTAAAAAAATTATTAATGAACACGATTATTCGTTTATTGCAAATGGGAGAGGCGAGGGGCTAATAAAACTACGTCGTTTTGCCTATCATAATTCACGCACAAATCCCACCATCTGCTCTGAAAAAATTATCGTTCGGCCAGGCTTCAGGTGGACATTAATGCTCTGCTAGAAACCAGTAAGGATTTCGTCTGTAAATGGGAAAGGGTATGGCAAACATACTAACAAGCCAAGTAGCAAAACCGTCACTCCAAGAGCAACATACTTGTCATCAGGATCCGTTATTTCCTCAGAGAGAGGAGCAACGGGACCTCTTTGTAAGAAGAATATGAGAACTACCCAGTAAAATGCCACGTCGTTCAACAGAGACGATAGTCCGAGGAGCACAATCGAAGCCGCTGTGAAGCGGGATGAGGCCTGTGCAATTGACTCAAGTCAGTATTTCTACCCGTTAGGAAATGACATAAAAAGTGAACGATATTTTATTGAAAAATTTTGGCCACTTGCTGCGAAGTGACTAAAGGTTCCAAATATTACTATTTACTATATAGGGTACCTTTCTTCCCCACAGGGCAAACGCTATTCTCCCGCCATCAAGTTCTCCAGCTGGGATGCTGTTGATTGCATTAATAAGGAGGCCTGCCCAAGCCCAAATCACAAGAGGGTTGACAGAAATTGGAGTTCCTTCCTTGAGCACATTGCCAAGAAGCAGCTTTGCTAAAAAAAAAAAATAATAAAGAAAACAAATTCATGAGACTTGCTTCGTATTTTTTCTGTCTAAATCCTTAGAAAACCAGGCAATAAATCAATATGACTAGCACAAAGCAGGTAGTTGGGGAATTAAAACTTTTTTAGCAGATAGCTAATGCATATCTGAAGTGAATTTCCACATCTAAAGTATGCAGCTTACCGATACCCCCGGCAAGAAATGACTCATGAAACACAGAAGCATCGACAACAACACCGATACCATCACTTGGGGGTAAGAAAAAACCTAACAGCAGAAGCACAAGACCCAAGGTGAAGCCAGCTATGGGTCCTGCAGCTGCAACTTTGAGAAGATCTTCCCGATTGGACACAATGTTTCTTATCCTTGTAATAGCACCAAAAGAGCCTATCTGCCACCATATCACCCATCAGAACATCCAAACCTTCATATAGTAAGTTATTCAAAACAGCATGTGACAAACAACAGGAAAAATCGTTTAATGCCAAAGAAGCATCTGCCAGGATATTGATATCATGCCATAGCAATTTATGGAGCACAAATTTAAGATAAGAAAGAATCAAGGTCTTGTATTATACCCTACCTA